ACACTCGCGAGGTTGCATGCAGCAACGCTAATTTGCTGTTGCAGCTGCTTGCAGCGTTGTACGCTTTTATTTGTATTTTATGGCTGTAGTTGTTATTGCTGTTGTTGCTTGCAAATTGCCCGTTTGGCTGGGCAAACACTCGGCGGCAGCGCCGTTGTCGTCGTCGTCGTCGTCGTCTGTCTGGCCAACAGCAATCACAAGTGATTCGGTTTTGAAAATTTCTGCTGTTAATGGTGCGTTTTGATTGGCAGCTGTTGTTGTTGTTACTGATGCAATTTGTTTGTTTTTTGCCGCTGCTAGCGCTGCTCATTTGCAGTTTTGCTTTTAATGTTGCTGCCGCACTTGTGGTGGCATGCGCTTATTGCTGCCACTGTGTTGATTCTATTTTTGTTGTTGTTGTTGTTTGTTATTATGCCTTGTTTTTTAAACGTTGGTGTGTGTGTACCATTTAATTAATTTAGCAACAACAAAGAAAGGCTCTCGAGTTGCTTTATGTCAGTGTAAGTATGTTTGTAGTATGGATATCACAATTGCCACATAAATCAGCATAGTTAGCAGCGCATAAATAAATATTCTACTTTTGCTATGCACTCATTTTGTTGTTGTAAACTTAACATGTTTTTGTTGTTGTTGCCGTATGTTATTACATTATGCATCGCCGCTATTGGCAGCAGCGCACAGCCGAACGTGTCTAATAGCACGGTGTGAAAATTCACGCCACTTCATTTATGTGGTGCTGTGAGCCTCTGTTTTTATTGTTTTCACTTTTCTGCATTTATTTGCTTTAAAATTTAGCACTAAAGAAGTTTTTATGCTTAACCTCGTTCTTAATGCACTTGCTTATGGGTAAGGTGGCAAAAACTTACATATTGAGGCAGGTGCTCTAAGCTTAAGAAAATATATGTATGTATAATATATTAGGGTGGGTAATAAAAAACGAATCTTTTTTTTAGCAACGTACTTTGAAAAATTAATTGATAGACGCCTTTGAGAAATGTGCTTCAAGTATGAGCTCGTAATTTAACAGAAAAGTTGGTTTTCTACTTTTTTTCGTATTATGAGCTTCAAAATTCAAATCTCGCTTCGGACTATTTGAAGTAATATTTCATAGAATTTATAAGAAATTTAATGCTCTACACGTAGAAACCGTAAGAGACCATCTTATAGAGCATTGAGTTTTCTAACCATGAAAACGAAATATGAACAGAAAACCGTTTTATGAAGGACCTTCCCGTTACAATTAAGAGCTCATACTTGGGGAGTCTTTCTTATAGAATTGACAGACGGCAGCGTTAATCCGGATTAATTCAGGAGTTAGTGAAGATAACTCCGTTGCTAACATCCATTTAATCCTCAAAAAGTGTTAACCGCCAATGGCCGATTTTAATTTATTGTGAATGAAAAACAAGCGTCTACAACACTGACGCTGTTCTTCAAATTTTCAACAATGGCACAAGAAGTTTTATGTAATGATGTTATTTTCTGATGAGTTGTAAAAATAACATGTTCAGATGTTTTCGTAATAAAAAATGTATTTGTAACTTGCGGACGGCTAACATACGCAAAGTTTATCTTCTATTCATTTTCATTGAAAATTTTATCAAAATGATTATCAGCAGTTTACGAGAGTTTCAAACTCGCATAGCTGCCATTTGTCACCAAAAAATTTGGAACTGATTATGTGCGCAGTTAATCCGGATTAACGCTAAAGTCTGTCAAGCCTATTGGAGGTATCTATCAAACAATTTTTAAGAGCATGAAGCGCAAAAACAAAAACCATTCGGTTTTTTTGACATACCCTAATGTATATGTTTGTATGAACATATATATACACGATAGGAGAGGCATGTGCTCTTATGTCTTATGTAAATATAAATGTTTTTCCACATACCAAAGTAACCATATAGATTTTTGCAAATTAACTATAAATAAGTAAAAGTATAAGCGTGCAATCTTCTTTTATTTACGATTGATCAGAGTTTAGATCTGAAACCGCCATTTGTGCAAATTTGGAAGTTATAGAAGTTTCCAAAGAGGATTTGATTTACTCAACTTCATCTTTTGTCAGGCATTAAAGAACGCGAAGCAAATGCCGCTGTACTTCTGAGTATTGAGTGAGCTGTGTTTCAGCGAATTAAAGTTCAGCATTCCGTCATTTGATGCTTTCCCTACTATAAAAAATACTCATAATATCTTCAATCATAAGTGTTACTTCACTATTAAACCATGGTTTTACATATTTCGAGCCAGTCCTATGGCTTGATTTATCCAAAGACATTATGAAACAAATTCAAAATATGCCTAAATAGGCTATTTAATCATGAAGCAACCATGACATGATATCCACTTGAATCTCAAATTTGACTTCGTTATGTTCGGTTATGTTGAAGCTTTATATACATATGTACATATGTAAATACTTTATTATATTCCTAGAACTTCAGTGTAATTATAAGAAAACGGAATTTTAAATGCAAACTATGAAATATTTTTGTGGTTTATAAATATCGGTACTAACGAGATGTCAGTTTTCTAAGATCTCTGAGTCGCAATTTATATCAAGACTCTGGTTATGTGGCACGAAACCTAGAAAGGATTTAATATCAAAACATTTGCAACATCCACGACCCAAAAACAACAATGTAGTACCACCTTCATTTTTTATCTCAATGAAATCATCAATGTTAACTTTATCAATTAAAAAAAACAAAAAGTTCGGAAGAATATCGAGACCTTCACAAAAGTACTGCCGTTAAGATTCAACTTTCTCACATTTTAGAGGTGGCTTAAAATACATTTTTAACATTGTTAGTATTTTTAAGATTTTGATTTAACATTTTTTACTGATTTCAAAAACTGTGCTGACAAAGACAGTGCGTACAAGGAGAAATATAGTTATATTCCCAGAAAGTCAAGCGGCGTAGAAATAACTAAATTCGCTTAGCGACAGTTAGTAAAATGATATTATGATATGATACGATCAATTAATACACCTAACTTCCTCTTTCCCTATAAGCCGACAATAGATTCTAGCACAAGGTGATATTTTGGATCACTGTGAAGCAGATAAAGTAGCCGGAACAGGCACCATCCTACAATTAGACTCTCATAAAGAGGGATTATATATATCACCTAAATTGCAAATCAACGTTTCATCACAAAAAAAAAAAAAAAAAAAAAAAAAAAAAAAAAAAAAAAAAAAAAAAAAAAAAAAAAAAAAAAAAAAAAAAAAAAAAAAAAAAAAA